TGCAAGTTTTGCTCGCTCTGTATATTTTTCAGTTGCAGCTTTTCATTCTCTTTCTGAAAAAAATCACTCAAAATCTGTGTTAGAACAAGAAGAGAAGGCATTCTCACAACGAGAAATAATATAAGTGATGCTTTACAAGGCCTAACTGTGCACTCGCCAAGCTGAAATTCTAATTCTTGCATTTTCTGTGACGCTTCACGTTCAGATCTCTCATATTCCCTTTGTCTGTCCTTCCATTCCACTAAATTCTGCAATTTAGTACTTTGAGCTCTAATTATGTTTTCCAGACAAAAGGGAGCAAAAAGGACGACTATTACATGTATACTAGGATATGGCTCAAAATTGACGGAATAGCTCTACAAAACAATGTTACACATATTTCCTTGATGACTGTTTTCTGCTTTTTTACTTAATTTGCATTTATACCTTGTAGGATACCATCCGCATAAATTAAGCACCCTCTTTATAGCACTGAATTCAATGTCTCCCATGGTTCATAATTTTACAAAAGCGTGTAGTGTTGTTAGTCGTCTTTATTTTAGTGACAGCGTTTCGTCAAAAAAATATCAAATTTTGAGAGTGAACTTTTCATATTAAAAGCCGACAAATGAGTTCTTCTGAGCATGAGCAGTAACCCCGATTAGATTTCAAATGCAGCAGATGACTGAAAGAAAACAAAAATAAGGTACTTTTCCGTAGTTCTCCTCTAACTGTCTGACGCGATGCTCCATTTTGGCGACATTTAAATCAGCCTGTCTTTTCTCTTCTTCTAACACCTTCTTTTCTTCCGCAGCCTTTTTTTTGCTTAAAACATTTTCTGCGCGCAGATTACCGTTCAATCTCTAAAAATTCTTTGATAGTTTTTTCTCAAATCAATCAACGAGCGCTAAAAGGCAGATAGAACATATGTGACAAACAGACCTTTAATTCCTCTAAATTCTGCTTGTGCAAATTATTCTCTTCCTTTGTTTTCTGCAGTTCTTCTTGGCACTGTTGAATCTCTTCGGCAGCCTAGAAATAACTGCCATATAAGCCGGAATTTTCTGTGTTATTGAAGTTGAAAAAAATTTTGAAATTACCTGATTCCTAAGTCTCTCTTGTTGCTGTCGTGCCTCTTCAAGCTCTCTTCGTAACGTGTCGTTCTCAAACTGTCTTAAAAGCTTAAGATGATTTACCGTTTACGTAATTACCAAGCTTTCTTTTTATTTTAAGCATATTGAATTACTCTTTATCAAAAACTAAACCTTAAATTATTCTATTGAAGTGCTTTTCGACAGTACGCTGTATGACTTAGTTTACTTCTGTTATTTCCAAATAGGCAATTTTACGTCACTCTTATTCTCTTCTGAAGCTCTTCTTTAAATCTTGTAGACTTTAACATTTTTTTGTTTTTTTGAAAAGCTACATTTTGTTTCTGTGGAATTTTGACATTATCATTAGACTAAAGTTTCACTGTCAAACTTTTCAGTAAGTGCTGTGTCAGCCTTTTGCATCTTTACGAGTGCATTCTTCGTTCTCAAAAGGCACACAGAATTTATATTTTAAGAAATTAGGAAAAGAATATTTAAGCTATTATGAAAGTTTGTGTACGATTTCACTGGCTAAGGTAGCTGCAAATGAGCTTTTGAAAACAATGTCTGTAAAATGAACTAAGGGGAGCGTAATTAATTCAACTTTAGTTGTGACGAGAACAACAGAAAATTAGAAGGAATTCGAAGGCAAAAACGCACGTATACAAATTTTCACTCTTTAGCCTATCATAATATTGACTTGGAAAGCAGAAGGTTATGAAAAAAGACAGTAAAGTAATGATTACTCTCCAGATCGTTGCCTGCTTGAAAAACCGTGATATGTCATAGGTGTCTTATTTTCAAAGGTAATTAAGTGCTTTTGAACGCCTGAGTCATCACTGCAAAACGTCTTCCTCGCGGCTAAACTTTCATTTTCGTCGCCTAAGGTTTCTGCAGCTTCATTAATCTGGCACAGCTTAAAATCTGCATCCTATAAAACTTTAAGTTTAGAAGCAAACCTATATAGTTTTTAAAAGAATTAAACGAAATGGCGTATACCACAGCAAAATTAGGCTCTCGTTTCGGCAGAGCAGGAACTTTTACTAAACCCTGAAGATAGAGCAGATTCGACGCTTTTGCGAAAAACTTCTTCATTTCATTACAAACTTGAGAAAACCTATTACGAAGGCCTTTGAAAGCGTCAGCAGCAATTCCTAAAATTCAAAGTTTTAAGGTTTTTGACACAGGAATGTTTGTAGACATTTAAAAAAATCAGCAGCCAAACAGATTGTCTTAAAAACCTTTATAGTGCTCTGTCTTTATAAGGTATCGAGAAAAGTCAAGACTATTTTTGAAAACATGGTAAAAAACTTTAAAATTGCACATGAAAGTAAGGTGCTCAAAGCGCAGCAATTCTTTCTTAGTATTTTTTATTTAAATAATATAATAACAACTGCAGTAGTGATAAATTGTTTAATGTAGAATATTGGTAAATATATGAAAAGTGTATAAAAAGTTAACATACCTTTGTAGAGTTTGAACATAAGTTGTAGCAAGTAGCGGTAGAATATACTGACATCAATGACGACAACAGCAAGTGGTGCAAGCAAGCACTGACCCTGAGCAGTTTGCGACTTCCAATCTAGCGGCTCTTCCACAGCGTCAAAAACTAAAAATACACAACTAGGTTTGAAAATGCCAGCTTTGAGACAAGAAATACTTTTTTAATTTTCAAGAAACTGGTCAAAAGAGGAGCATCTACCGGTAGACTGCAAGTGCAAGAGATTGTCTATCTGGTCTAGGAGCTCCATGCAAGTCTCAAATAACTGGTCTAAATCATCGCTGTTCAAAACGTTCAGTTGCTCGTCAGACAAATGAAGATTGCCAGGAAATACTGGATTCTGAAATGATTTAATGTTGAATATAAACAACAAAATTATTTCTTCAAGAGTTTAACAGATAAAAAAGAATGCGGCAGAGGTTTTGATAATATTTTCAAAATAAATAACAGCGTGAAAATGAGAAAAAATAAAGGAAGTTGGCTTGAAAGCTGGCATTAGAAACTTACATGCTCTAAAAAGCAGATACGACTATAGAGAAGTTGGCAGTATACAGAAATTGGCAGATGGTAAGACGAAGAATTTTGTTCTTGCCAGTATTTTCCAAGCTGAGATACATACGCTACTTTATCTTTCGTTTCTTCTACAACTTTTCCAGAACTATCACGAATTAGCTACAAAGAGGCAAATTATTAAGAGAGAAAGCAAAATAAAAATGCAAGAAAAGTCAATTAATGTTTTTTAAAATTGGCTGAATTAAAGATGTGTTTTAGAGTTAAAGAATAAGTTTCAAAACGAAAAACGGTCTCGAATGCAGACAGAATGTTTAGTTTACATAATGTAGAATTGAAAAAAGACCTTATGAAACAAATGACAAAACTTCCAGGAAGCGACATCACTTTTATCAAGTTTAGCGTTTGATACGACACTCCAAAATACCATTGAAAACTGTTCCTTACAGGAGCTTTGAGCTATCTCACGAAGCAAATTTTGTTTTAGCGGCGTTTCAGTTTTGTTCAATGCTTTTTGCAATAAAACTATCTGCAAAAATTACCGAGTAAAGTAGAAGTCAGAAAAATCGGTTTAAAAGAGTTTTTCTGCTTTTTCTTACCGATTTATTCAATACTGTGGGTCATTCTAAAAGTGTAGGAAAAAACAATTACAAAAAAATTTGCCAAACAACAATTGCTCGAAATTGTGTGCAAAAATCTTTTCCAATTAAAGCTCTAAAAAAATTAATTTTGTTCGAAAAATAATCGTATTGGTATAAAGAAATTCTTACCTTTTCTTTGCACCTTCTTCTTTTAAAATATTTGGTCTAAAGCTATAAAAAAAACTAGACGATGATTAGTTTTATAATAATTTTCTTCCCTTTTCAGCAAAAATAACTCTTCAAAACGAAACCACGAGATGCCTACTGTATTATCATCAAAAAAATTTATGTTGGTATTTTGTTGTTACTTCACTGGTAAATAATCATGAGCTTAAGACAATAACTTACAAGTTTGAAATTCGCATAAAATGATTAAAATTTATAATAGCGTTTACAATACTATTAAGTTTGAAAAAAATATGAGTAAAAATTACCAGAGGTTTCAAAGAATCGTCAGAATTTTCAGCATTCAAATTTAATTGGCCATTCATTTTTTCTTCAGTCAAGTTTTTCTAAAAAACTTGAGAATCAATTTGTTATAACTATCATTTTCAAGTAGCTCTTCAATTTTTTTTTGTCAGGAACGGTTTTAATTACAACTACTGTTACACTATGTTTGACAAAAAACTTTAACTTTTTAATGTCTTAGTACCACTTCTTATAAAATTTAGTATGCTGCTTGCCACTGTTTTGCAGCACTGTTTGAAGTGGCAACGTCTCTGCACGTAAAATATTTTTTTTGGTGGTTCTTATTATTATAGACAAAAAACCTGATTATCCCAGCGCAGTTAAAAAAAACGTGGTAAAGTGACTTGTGCATTGTTCAAAGTATCACTTTTTTCAAAACATTTTCAAAGCAATACATTTCTTGAATTTAATATAATTTATGTAGACCTTTCCACAATATTAACAAAGTCAGGAGTAAAAATAACAACAAAATTCCTCTTTAAAAAAATTTTAAAGAAAACAATATAGTAAAAATTAGCTACTCGTGCAATATCAGTCGAAGTTCACGATAAAGTAAAACAAGAAGCCACTGATAGTAGCTCTCGATTAAGTATTTCTGCCTGCTTACGTGCGTTTGAAGTAAACAGAATTTTTGCAATTGCTAATGACTGACTAGGAGATAACCAAGCACATAAAATTACGCACTAAAGAAATGGTAAAAACGACTTTAGTGCTTTTTTATAATGCTACATTAAATACTTGAGCAAGTCAGCGACACTGAGGAAAGAACCCGGTATATGCCTTGACAAAATATCTTGTTAAAATTTCATGTTGTGCCACGGCTTCAGTTCACTCCAATACAGAAAAAAAGGTTTACTAATTAACAAGTGATCACTTTTGCTAAGGTCGCTTCAATAAACGCATAAAAATTTTCATCTTTACTATGTCAGTCTAGTAAAAAAAGACTACAAAAAAAAAGATAATATCTTTCAGGCATGACCTGAAAATAGCAGAAATATGAAGCAATATCGTTTAATATAAAGTAAAAGTAAATCGTCAAATGGTTTGTTTAAAAAAGCCTAGTGTAATAAAAATTCTTTTTTAACCTGGCAAATATTGTCAATCAAAAAATA